GGAAAATCTCAACTGATTGTCAAGTTAAGGGGTCTTTTTCTTCATTATGAGGAAGCAGTAACTGAGAAGCACCCAAGCTGGCATAGTAGATTAAAGGAGAAAAGACTAATCATGGCCTTAGGCAGGCAGTGGAGACCTCTTCCTTTAAAAGGGCTGTAAGTTCTGTCTTCCCTCTCTCTGTAGCTGAAATGGCAGTAGGAGCTCCAATCCTGGGAGCCATTTATCCTTATAAGAACCAGCATAGCAGAGCACTGCACTGCATTGGTCAATAGACCATTCTGTGAATAGAGAAGTCCTAGTTTTTAATATCTTCTCAGCTATGGACATTCTATATAAGAGACTGCTCTTTCAACTCTCAACTGAAATATCAGACACCTTTCCAAAATCATTTAAAATATTTATGGAATCAAATATTTAAAATGTTTTGAATATTTGGATAATTCATTTCTGAGTGGTGCAATACAAAGTAAAGCATTCCTCCAAAGCAGCCTTCCATGAAATTGTACAGTTCAGAGCCCAGGCCCACATACTGCCAGCTCAAGAGCCTCAGAAAGAAAAGAGAAAGGCATTTTGATCAGGCAGCACAAACTAAGTCCTTACCTCTGACCATAATAGCTCTCAAAGAAATGCTCTTTCCAAAGTTCCACTTTCTTCTCCTTTTCTAGTTCCTGCCGAAGTCTTAGCTGCATCTCTGGAGTGAACTCCCCTGCCACACACACAGAGTGGGAGAAAATAAGTTAGCAAAATACAGAAATATTTGCCTTTTCAAACCTCCATTCCTGCACTGGCTTTCCTGAACATAAATGTCCTAAACCTTCTCAAAAGTCACAATGTCCATATCTTAGAAACCTTTCAATTTTTTTCTTGGCAAAAGAGGTTGCTTTTGTTTCATTTATTGCTCTGGTCCCATGCTTCTCTGGGCAGGTAGTTCCTTCAGTAAAAATCTGTTCATTCTCACTAACACCTCAGAAGCCTAGAGACCTGCCTCTGGATGTCCTCACCTTCCGACAGCCGCTCCTTCCAACCTTGGGCAGCAGAATTAAAGAATTCATTGTTGAGGGCAGAACTGCTAAGCTTCATCAAGCCATCCAATCCAATCTGAAAGACAAATGGGATGAGATGAATAAAAAATAAGCTGCCAGATACTCAATGTTCCTCCAGAATTCATGAAATCAGGCAGATGAAGCCATGGGGCAATCCTAGAGAGGAATAAAAGAAGGAACTCCTTGGTGCTTTATCTTCCTAAGATAAGAAGGCCTCTGATAGGCCACTTTTAGCCTATCATATAAATGATTTGAGAATGATTGCTTCTTTGTGCAGAGACTTTGGAAACTGGAAAAAAAAAAACGGGGAATAAGGGGCATAGAACAACACAGTGATTTTGTATACTGCATACATACAAGAAAGTACAGTATACATGAAAGCAAGCCCACACCTGCCCCTAAGGGCAACAGCTCTTCTCCATGAAGGCTTGGATGTCCTATTAAATATTTGGAGATAGACATACATGCACATGGGAATAGCTGAATTGGCAAGCCTCTCAATGTGACATTTTACTTCTTTGCACTAAATGCCACAACCAAGGCACAGTAAAAGTAATGACAGGTTGAAACTTTTATTCTCATTAAAAATGCCAAAATTGTAGCACCAGGAGCCTAAAAACAAGATTTTTTTTTAAAGAGCTCTAAACTACCACAGGATAGTTGCTCAATAGTGACAATTCTTGCTGATACATCAAAAAGAAAAAGAACAATTTTAATTCTGGGCCAAGGAAGCAGAAAATAAGGTGAGTTTCACAAATTGAACACCCATTTGCTAAACATGAAAGTGGTACCCAGAAAACAAATTTAATGAGTATTGGAAGCCTCAGGCCCTTACTGTCACACAGCCCAAGTTCTGCACAACAGCACTGCTATATAAAATTGTGGGAAGAATTTGAGCCCTGACCTGTTTCCTCCCCTCCCTCCATGGACACACACCTGCCTGTCCACCTCTGGCAGGAGCAAGAGCAGCTTCTGCTGACATTCAACTGGTAGCCCCATGAATGTGTGCTTGTTGATTAGAGCTCGCAGATTGGTGTTCACCAAGATGGATTCTGGGGTTTCTACATCAATTTCAGCACATTTTGTCCTCTTCAGCTGTCCTAAGAAAAGAGTCACCAAAGATCGTAATTAGAAAGGAGAGTTCTACCCACTTTGGATTTAGCTACAATCTACCTCTACTCCTCAGCAAGAATGGGAAAGTCCCTAGCCAGGACTGATACTTTAGTCTGGAATCCCACCCCATTTGACAAACCTCCTGAAGTAGGTTAATGCCACATGACAGCTCTTCCTCTGCCACACAGAAAGAATGTCAAAGGAAATAAGATGGATGGCAGCACTCACAGTCCACAACTAAGTCGGTGAAATCTCAAGGGAAGCCTGAACTCTTGCTTACTGAAGTGCTGCTTATGTGTGACGCCTAAAAAAACTGCTTCTGTGCAGTGCATTTCAGATACATCGTAATCCTTCACCAGAGACAAGAAAAGGTATCAGGAATACAGAGTACAAAATATTTGAGCTTGGAATACTTCCTGTGAGGTTAGAAAATCTCATCCTGAGCACAAAATAGAAAAGGAGCAGTTCAAGCTCAAAGCATTTCAAATCAACATCATGTACACCTCTAATTAGAATTATGTAATTCATTATTAGGAATATGAATTTGTTACAATAATATCCTAATATTACCAAAGCAGCATAGGGACATTTGTAACAAACAAGAACAAAAAAACTCCCTCTCATACTCAGCATAAGATTAATCTGGTTTTCAATGACTTTACTGTCTTATTTTTTATTGGTAAATTTTAATATTTAAATTTTTTCAGATTTTTTTATCCTGCCTTTACTATTTTTTATAAATAACTCAAGGCAGTGAACATACCTAATACTCCTTCCTCCTCCTATTTGCCCCACAACAACAACCCTGTGAGGTGAGTTAGGCTGAGAGAGTGACTGGCCCAAAGTCACCCAGCCGGCTTTCATGTCTGAGGCAGGACTAGAACTCACCATCTCCTGCTTTCTAGCCCGGTGATTTAACCACTACACCAAACTGGTCTAGTGGTCTAAACGGCAACAAGTTGAAAAAATCATGCCAATGCTAATTTTACTATTCGATTTGTACTTAAATGCCTTGAGTACTTCTTAGCAGAAAGAAAGCTGGCATATAAATTAAATAAAGCCTGAGCCTACATTAATCCAAAATGGTCATTTTCTGAACAGTGCTGTGGAACTGCATTAAATACTTCATTGCATAATGCTATCTTGTATCAAAAAATTGCTAATTGTTTCCAGCTTCATCCAGAATATTCTGTAAAATTCACTGTTTATAGACAAGCTGTATAGCTGTTCTATCTCAAACAGAGACTCACACGAGGCGAACCCAATGAGGTGAAAACCCAGGCTGCTCTTTTAGCGGCTGCTCTTCTAACAGGAAATAGAAAAAAGAAAACCAAGAAAACACCCACAAATACAGACAGAACTTCAGGTCTTTTTTTTCTAAACCTGCCCTGTCCATTTTTTATTTTTTTTGAATAACCGAAGTGTTAAATTTAAAAAATGAATTATGAAATATTTTTTCAAATGTTTGAATAAAATGTTATTTTATTCAAAATAACAATAAAAGCAAGGTATTTCTGACTTTCAGGTTCTGATAAAGTATCAAGCAGGATTTTTTTTAAGGAAGCTGTTGTCTTACTTGCATGGAGCCTCTCAGATCTCTGGAATGGTTTCTTCCCAAGGATTGGCAAGGAAGGCTCAGTTTTAACAGAGGGAGAGGAACTAGAAGTAGAATTCTGTGGGCTACTTGAATGTCCATCAGATTGTTTCCCTTCCCAGGCTGCAAGGAAAAGGATAACAGAAAAACGCTATCTGGGTTTAACTGTTCAACAGCTCATTCAATGTTTTGCTTAAACTTCTATTGGATATCTATATGAAATATGAATTGCAGCACAACAAATAAGGACCAATGGCAGATAACAAATTATTTGCAGTCTCAGTGTGCAGACACTAGAAAAGATAGAATTGGAAGCTTCTATGAAGTATCTGCTTGAAAATAAGTCTTATGAATCTTAAAAGCTGCTCAGTCAGCTGTTCTGCACTGGGTTCTATATACAGCACATACAGTGCATTTGGAAAGTATTCAGACCCCCTTCACTTTTTTCAATTTTGTTATGTTGCAGCCTGATACTACAATCGTTCAAATTCACTTTTTTTCTCATTAATCTATACTCAGTACTCCATAATGATTAAGTGAAAACAGAATTTTAGAAATAACTGTAAATTTGTTAAAAAGAAAAAACTGAAATATCACATTGGCATAAATATTCAGACCCTTTACTCAGTACTTTGTTGAAGCACCTTTGGCAGCAATTACAGCCTCGAATCTTTTTCGGTATGACGCAACAAGCTTTGCACACCTGGATTGGGGGATTTTCTGCGATTCTTCTTTGCAAATCCTCTCAAGCTCAGTCAGGTTGGATGGGGACTGTTGGTGGACAGCCATTTTCAGATCTTTCCAGAAATGTTCGATAGGGTT